TAAGGTGCAAGAGTTGTAGTTGCAAGATGGTGGTAATAGTACTGATGACATGATGGTAGTGTTATTGTTAATAACAGTATATAATAATAATAATAATAATAATAATAATAATAATAATAAGTAATATGATGTATAATGTCAATGTAATTTTATGCGTTTTATTTTGTATCCCTGATTTTCTTCTTTGGTCTTTACATTCAAGAACACTATAATGTTACCCAGCTCCAACATGTGCTCTTGGGCATCCTCAGTGTGAGACAGAAGTCGCTGAAGGAGAGTGTAGCCAAAGCAGTTAGCTATGGCTGGAAAGTCCATCTCCACTGTCTTCCGATCCCTGTAGATGGAGTGAAAAATCAAACACGGCAAATAAAATACCACTACTTGAAAAAGACAGTGAGCTTTAACCTTAAATAATGTATAATGGAAAATAATGGAATTTATTTTTTTCTGAATTTTATTGCAAGAATAAGTGGGAAGATAAAAAGGAACTGCAATCATCTTATTCACTGGTTGTGCTGTATAGACTGGGGTCTGATTGTTGTGATGCCTGCTAAACAACGTTAAAAGAGCAGTACCACTGTGACATGAACATGGAACAACTCATTTGCTACCCACCTCATACATATTGTATCATAAGGTCATTTTGTACTCACCTCCACACAGTGTAGCCATTGAGCTGCAGGAACTTGAGGACATCCTGGGCCCTTTCTCTGAATTTGGTCTTCTCCTTGGCAGTCAGGGTATCATAGGGTACAAGCATTGAATGGCCACCCCCTCCTGAGAACAGAATTGGGTCAAATGTATTGCAGTTTTGTTAGCTGTTCTTTGCTCCCCGCAAGGAGAGGAGGGGGCTTAAAGAAAAATAATACAATAGTTGTTGACACCGTGGTATAGTACCTTTACTCTCAAGATCTAATTTCTTCCTCTTAGCCCAGGCATTGTGGTAGTTTTCAGCCAACTGTTCAGCCATTGCCTATAGAGATGAAAAAAGAAAGCGTAAACTCTATTTTCCACTATCTGGCACATGACTTTAGCAGACGTGTGATTCAAATGGACCACAAGAGCCCAGACCCATTTCTCCAACAGGGAAACTACTTTTCTCAGAGAAGAATCAAGAAAACTAAGTCCTGTACTCCAACTATGATTACACATCACTCTAAACATGTTACCAATGGCAGATAATTTGGATTTTTAAGGCACTTCACTTCTCAGGCACTGAAATTTGTGTTGCTGAGTTGGAGTTAGACTGCATGGCACGTTAATGCATTAAGTGCATTAACTTAAGACACTTAGCATGATTGCATAATCTGACAAATACCAATAATAAGGAAATGTTATTTGGATTATTCAGATATGCAAAGTGAATACCATTTGTTTTTATATGTAGAAATTGTACCTACTTTAATGGTTTGTAAAGAAAAAAAACAAATAAATCACTCACACACTGGTCCCATGATAAGGTGATGCTACTCATGTCCATAGGTTTGGGGCTGAATGTTGATGCTCCTTCAAAAGACAGCTATGATAGACAACAAATAGCTAATTACTCATTTAAAAAAAAACAAGTAACATACCATAATGGAGCAGTCTAGCTTTGAATTAGATTACTTTTACAGTGTATAAGAGAAAGTGGCCTATGGAGTACACATACCTGTCCAGACTGAGAGACTCTGCGTGTGCAGGTATGTGTGCCAAATGCGTCTCCTTCTTTGGTCCTTTCTATGGTCCATCCAAAGGCCAGCATACTTTTTATTGTCTCTTTAATGGCCCAGCGGTATGCCTCCTTCTCCTGGAAAACTCAGAAATATAGATAACCCCTCATGTAGAACTGAAATTAGTAGGTCCTCAAAGGACAGCAGATATCAGCATTTTTGATATTTCAACTTTAAAAGAAGTGTATTGTCCACTCCATACACCAAGGACTATTAACTGAGGCATTTTAATCTTTTATACTACATACACAACATTTGGTATGCAAGTGCCTCTGGGATTTGTCAGTTGACTGCTTTCTTTATTGACGTACATTCTCACACACACACACACACACACACACACAAAACTGACTTCTTAGTCTACCTTCTCAGCCAGAGCCCTGTATGGCTTGAGGAGAGGGTGAACCTTGGCGTTCTCACACAGCTGCTCCCCATGAACCCAGCCATTGGCAAACTATCAGAGATAACACACAGATTCAGTAAAAATCAGACATTAGAAAATATGCAGACATCAACATATTAGATCAACCACACTACATAGACAGATGTTCTGACACTGTCAAGCAGAAAAATTATCTTAGGAATGTATTTTTAAGTTTTTCAGTCTTGACCAGAATACTATACATCAACTCTAGTGTGTCAACTTTAACAGGCCTACAGATTTGAGGAATAATTATTGTGATATTACCTTGTCCAGTGACCACTTCTCGTGAGTATGCTCTGCATACTTGTTCACTACAAACTCCAGTCTCTCTGGCACTGACACGCTAGTACAAGGAAAGATATAATACATCATTTAGTTCTGTTGCACCGTTAACAGAAGAGGAACAGGTCAACTTCAGGATATCCAGAATCAACGTGTGCTTTTTTATTTCCACAATCAATATCCTTGGTGAGTATCTTACTTGGATGTATCTATAGGGTGGGGATCAAAGTGTCCTTCCGTGTCCATTGAGGCTTTACTCTCTGTATGGGACATGCAGCTCGAGTCCACGTGGTCAGGGGGCAGGGCCTTGGCCACAGCAGCCAGGCACTGGACACACAGCCTAAATAACTGAGGCTCATAGGGCTGTAGAGTTGAGAAGAGAGAGAGGGGGAGAGAGAGAGAGAGAGAGAGAGGGGTATTGGTAACATATTGTGAGAGGAAGCGAGGTAGTAAATAGACAGCATGGGATATGATAAGACAGGGTCAGGGATATCTGGGAAATAAAATAGGGCAAATATACTGGGATAAAATATAGAGAGAACAAAGATTGTAATTATTGATTTCAAAGATCTGGTTTTGGGTGCTTCATGACAGTAATGTGTTACTGTCCACATGTCTGACTTTTACAAACTTGTACTACTCAGCTGAGAAAAACAGCTTATATAATTCTAATTTAATAACACATTGAATATAAATATTTTGGATAAAAATATAAAGAAATACCCTTGTTGCAGAAATAGTCTCCTAAATAGTCTTGTGCATACATATGGCCATGTAAAAACACTGCTAAAACCTAGTTAAATGGTCAATAAATCCCATTTCTCCAACTGAAATCCAGCTGTGAATCCCTTGATACAATAAAAGAAAAGTATCTCATTTACATGATAATAATGATTAATATTCACCTTGTTGACTATTGGCAAATAAGATGGTATTTACGATTTCAGTGGCTGATGTTTATCTGTTATGTTTTGCTCTCTACTGGATGAAATAATCACCTCCATTTTACAGCACATGAAAATGCTCCATGCACCAGTACTGAGGGTAGTGGCTGTTCAGCGAATAAATAACAAAAAAAAAACATTGGTATTGGCATCTGCTATTGGCCAAATTGTTATTTTAAACATTCATATCAACTCACAATTTTTCAATCGGTGAATCCCTACTGAAGAAGTTAGACAATTCTGCACAATGCTGACTGGGTGCTTGGGTTTTGAGGCTGTTTGATGTGGGCCACAAGCGTGACTGCAAAAACCTTTTGAACTTAGTTTATTGATGTTTTCATGTTCCTTCAGTCAGGTAAGTGTCATAAATATGCTGTTGCATGCTTACAGTGAATTGAAAAGAAAATATTCAGTTATTGCACATGTCTCACATTTCAAACAACTCATACGAAGATATAAAAAATGAACTCTTAATCTCAAGTGTGTTATATCCTCCTCCACTCAGGTTTTAGAAGTACGCTAAAGGAGAAAATAAAATACGCATTTTGTTGTTTCTCCTGAAATAGACTTTGAGGAAGATGGAAAAAGAAAAGAGCCGATCAATCAATGGTAGGATTACACTGTCAAAAAATTTAATTTATTCCTTTTCTGCAACTTTTTGGGGGCGCCAGGAAGATATTATTGTAATTTTAAATCATTTCAATGTGATCTTAAGATTGACACAGGTATTCAATATGGTTTACCTTGTTTGCCAAGGCCTTAAACACACCCCAGAACAACTTTCTAGACAGGTGGAGCTCCTCTTCAGAGGCAAAACCCTGGTCACTCTGTCCTCCAGTTAGCGAGTAGTACGTCCACCTCTGCTCGTAGTGACTGGCCAAGAGCTGGCAGATTAAAGTATTCACCACAGTCAAGAAAAAGTAACAATTTTAACTTGGTTTACAAATATATTTTACATACAGTGGAGTAAATGGCAATTTCTGCATCCACCTTTAGTGGCATCTTGCTGTGGTCTGTGAGCTGGGGAACATCAAAGACAAGACGTCGAAGAAGCGGCTGCATCATAGATGGTTGAAGTTTACTGAGCCCACCGATGAGTGCAGAATTAGTCACATGAGCAGATACACATCACCAACACACACACACACACACAAGCACGATGAATGATGTTTTGACTGATCATCATTTCTCAGAAGAATGACACATGTAATTGAGAAGATGCCATGGGCAAGATGTTAATTCATTTAACATTCTGATTAAATTTGGTAAATTATATTCGAGTTGGGCAAAAACAGGCTTTATAGTGATTCATTAACTATAATTAGCAGGAACAAGATTGCACTCATGTGTCATTAGTTAACAATGATGTGTTGCTGTTTGCCACTTCTCTTCTCAACATACGATTTGGTCAAACAGCAAAAGTACAATAAGGTCAATGGATATAGGAAGCTCATGGTGCTATAATTCATAAATAGATATTGTACCATAACATATGTTATCAGCATCAGAAAAATAAAAACTATTTCCAATAATAACCAGGTAGAGACAGAACCCTATCTCTAAAAACTGTACCTGCACACAGCCAACAAACAGTCTTCAATGGTGTCTCTCTGAGCCTTGGTCAAGCTATGAGCCCTGGAGAGGCTGTACACTGCCTGAATTAGAGAATCCACCAGCAAGGCATGGTCCTCTAAAGCACAGAAGAGAGCTGAACATCTGGTGAGCAAGGGAAGCACAGTTGTACACAAGTATCTGTTGAGGGCCAGGGCCATATCAGTGGATCCTAAGTCAGACTGCAATAAAAAAAAAAAAGAGAAGATACACTTACAGCGAGTCCAATTTACTAAGTGGACCTAAACAGACAAGATGAATATATAAAGGGTATAAAGTGCATATAAAGAAAATTGAGAAAGTTGAATTACTTTTTATATTTATGAGCAGATCATAAGTCTGAGAAACAAATACTGAAACTGAAAAGCCTTCCTTTATTAGGGGTGATGCATACATTAATGTTTCATGGAAAACAAAACACTGTTTATTAGAAGACATCTTAGTAAATTGGACAAATAATTCTTAAGCAAATTGAGACAACCAAATCTTAGGTAAGTCAGTGAAGTTCACTCAAGTCATGTTAAACTGAATTTTTCCACAATCACAGTAATGTTATGATATAGTACAGCCAATGCTAGCGAAGGGTGTGTGGGGAGGGTTTCATTGGTGACGTAGTAGAGCTTGGACTAATATAAAGGTCACTTCTACAATGTTACACTGGACCTATCAAGCAGGTGAACAGGCCAACAAATTTTCTCTGCTCACAGTGTCAAGAGAGATGGCTGCCTGAAGGTCAGGCAGAAAGCCAACTTCTAGTAGGTGGAGAAGGAAACTCTGGTTTTCAATGCCATAAACCCGGTCTAGGAACAGGACCATAGCTGCCTTGTGGTCTGGGCAGAACACTGTGGATAGGTCAGGCTCAACCACCAGACCATCTGGACGAACAAATGAAAAAGTAAAGATTAGATGTTGTGACCAAAGGCCATACTGACATAATGTATATTGTGCCTTTATCTTTGCTGTGTGCCAATCCCTATCTGTGTGTCGCTATAGATGCCTTGTACAGACTCCATAATGGTGACATCACAGAGGAGTCAAAGGCACACTGTAACTACAAAAAATCTCAGATCTTAAGATCTTAAAGAATTCACAATTTCAAAGACAGCCATACGTTTCTGTCCAGTGGCTTACTGCAAGTTGAATTTACTGTAGTAATGTAAGATTGGCTGATAGGCTCAACTGACCTGTAGACACTGAAGGGATTTGAAGGGAGATGCTGATGACTCCCTCAAGATCCTGAATGGGGATGAGCGACCTCAGAATGGCTCTGATGCGGATTGCCTCTCCTTTGCCTCCTTGAATCAACTGGACAAAAAATTGTAAAAGAATGTACTGGCCTATCATTTACAGCTTACTTGGGATTGGTGATGGGCATATTATACGTAATGCTACAGTAAACAATACAACTGGCAGACTTATTGTTACAGACATACTGTATATTGTATTATATCTTCAGCGTAACGATGTGCACTGATTCTATAAAATATTAGGGACATGCTCCACATATTTAGCTGCAGCCCATTTTGAAGTCCAGATGTAATTTGTGTCAAAGACTTTTGATTTGTTTTCTAAAACATTGTTTAACTGTTGCTGATTTGTTTCCTGCAATTGTTTTCTGTAGTTCTGTTGATTTGTCTTCTTTTTACAATTTTATTTGCCTTATTATCTTCCAATGCATTTGTATTGTAAAGCATTTTAACTGCCTTTGTGTTTGAAAGATCCAACACAAAACATTGCCTTGTCTTGTTTTGAATTTGCATTTGAATCAGCGCTTATGCTGACAATCAGGTATACATGCCAGGTTTTTCATCGGAGAATCTCACAAACTGACAGGCTTAAACCAATTACTCTACTAATATCCAGTAAATAATGCAAGGTTAGGAGTTTTGATGGCAGACCACTAGATCACAGGCCACTAGTTAAATTGGATGACAAAATATGAATACAGTATGGTAGAAGTAGAAAAGTCTCAGTTTCATGAAGTTTAATCCAATGAATACTGTGATCAGTTTTATGTCTAGACATACAGCATGTTGGCCAGGCCATTATGTGTAAAGGTAAAAGCAATAAACTGACTATTTCTCATTCTGACTCATTCTTTAAAAAGCAGTTTGCAGACTTTCTCCATTTGGTTTTATTGTCTGAGGCATCAGTGGATATTGATGCGGAGGGGCTGCTGAATGCTGGGAAAACACTCACATGCATCTCTGGAGCGCAGCGGCCCAGCAAGTCGATAAGGGCTGAGTAAAAGGTCATGATGGCGTGCCCCATGTGAATGAGGTCATCGTCATTGTCCTGGACAACATCTCTGTTAAAAGGAAACCGTGATAATGGTTAAAAGTTTTATCATAAACTAAAATAAATTAAGGATATTGTGTTCCAGCCAAGAAATGTTCCCAAAGACCTGTGAGAAAATTACTTCTGACACTTACTTACTACATTAAGTTACTTTCCTTTATTAATATATAATATCAATTAATTTAACGAATTGAATATACACATAAATATGTTGATAGTATATTTGATAAATCTTTATCAATGCTGTTTACAGAATAATACAAATGTGATGCACTTAAATGATTTAATTATTTGCAATCTTGCAATCTATTGTCTCAACTACCCTTAACTACTGAATAATTCAAAATCAGTACAGTACAGTATCCATCAGACAGCTGTTCATGCAAGGGATTTGTGTGTGTACTATATTTATTACTGAACTACAGAATCAAAGCATCAAATGGGTAATATTCGATTTAGTTCTTTAGATGCTAAATTACATGCCAGCACATACATGCACAAACAAAACAAAAAAACACTCACTCAACAGCTAATACTGACAGTGTTCTGTTGGACTGGTATGAGGTGCAAGGTCCGTCCATAGAAGGGTCCTCTGAGATCCTGATGGCTTCCACCATGGCTGCTAGGAGACCATTTCCCCCATCCCCTCGCAGGGCAGGCCCAAAACACTCAGGCCGACGAATCAGCAACCTCAATACTACATAAGCATTCTCCTCTACACTCTCACCTGTGGTCAAGGAACACACATGTACAGACCAACCATGATCAGCGCCATAACCATAACATGACACCTGTTATGATCATGAAGAAGTCTTTATGACTGGCAATAACCAAGACAACATCTCAAACAATGTCCACTTTGCATTAAAAATGACAGAATGGCACCTAATGACAGCAGTCCTTCATGTTCATGACAGGTGCCATGTCGTGGTGATGATGTTCTCATGTCAGTCTTACGCACACACTTTCAAAGTTACCCAAAAAATTAATAAACTGAAAAACACCCCAAGACGACCAATAGAATAATGATTGACTGTATATAAAAGAAGTACAGCTGAAATCACTAAGAGGCACACGGCATGGAAAGCCAATGCCATTTGACTGAACTGTCAACACCCTCAAGGACAATTTGAACCGATCGCTTCTGGGCACGGCTTCAGAGTAAGAAAAATCAATAGTAGAAGAACCAGAGAGGTAATTACCTCTATTCCAAATAGCTTACTTAATTGGGAGCATGAAATGATGCAGCCTCTTGGTGCCTTTTTAACTTTGTATTATGCTCTTACTATTCTAGCACTGTAGCAAATATCTAAGAACAGTTTTTTCTACAGAGAACTACAGGCAATACATGCAAAGAAGTGAAGTTATAGACATAATACAAATAATAAAATAATAGTTAAATAATTCAAATGTATTGTTAAAAAGTAAAGGCTGCCAAAAATAAAGACACACATAAAGACAAATGGCCAAACAAAATAATCAAGTCAATCGGATTTCTGTAGTACATTTTGAATGACATAAACTGACTGGAATCATGACAATAACATGCATGTTTACAGAAATGATAAGCAGAGTTATTGCAAACAAGCATTTAACACTAGTTTTTCGATATTTTGCCATTTAAGCTATCAGTGCACACACTTTCATTGGTAGAACTAACAGGTTACCATTGCAGAAGACAGCAAAACGTAGAAAATCCAGGTAACGCTCGCCCTCCACGGGGTTCCATCCAATATCAGGATAGCCTTTAGCCACTAGCATTGAACAGCTCTGGAGACCACAGCCAGCAAGGTACTGAACCACCTGATAGTTTCATAGATAGTGGGTTATTGCAGCTACTGTACAAAATATGGGATACAGCAAAGAAAAAAACTTTCCTTCCTCAGGTTGAATCTTTATGCCTTTCTAGAAACTGAACAAATAAATATATGCCCTCATTTGATTTTAAGTAACTAGTCATGCAAGTGAGGGCAGATATTATGCAGTGTGTTGCTCAATAAATTGTTCCATCAGATACTAAAGCTACATACTGCTGCATGTCACCTACATCCTGACTGATATTTTTGACACAAATAACACCATTAAAATGTGCTACGGCTCTCTCCAAGGTTCATAGTCAACAGAGATGTTCCAATATAATTTTTTCCTTCCCAATACCAATTCTGATAACAGAATATTGCATGTCGGCTAATACCTTGTTGTATGGCCTGGCTCAGGTTAAACCCTCTGACCAGAATCGGAGTCAGAGTAGGGAAGAAGCAGGGTCCCGTTTTTGGGCTAATAAAATATGTGTTATTGGAATAGTGGTATCCAACAGTCAACTACTTTCTTCTCAGCAGGAGGGTGGTGTAGAGTAAACCAATAAAGTACTATATAGAGAGAAAACTAAATGCCACCTAAACACACAAATATAAATAACAGATGAGTGAAACTGCAAAATAACATGGAAAGGCAGAGCATGTTCATTTTAGAGCAGAGCGCTTATCCATGTGTACATGACATAATGGAGACTATTAACAGCAGTCCTGCAGAGGAGGGCACAGAACATGAACTCACCTTCTCTAGGTCAGGTTCCCTCAGCGCTAAGGCCAGTTCGTTATTATCCATAACAGAGGCGGCTGCCACATCCAGAGGAGTGGCCCCACGCATGGACGGTGAAGCTAAGGGACAAATACATAAAACTATCTGAACACCAAAGCATAACCTAAATATAATATCAGGATATTTCTTAAGATGGAGACAAGATCCTGCCACCTTCACAAGGTTATTTGAGCCCTAAAAGTAAAGTCAAACAAGAACTGTTTTCTCATTTTATTTCTTATAGACAAGAGGGGTGGACACATTGACACATACTGTATGTCTGTGTAATTCAGTCCTGCAATCAATAGTAAACTACCTTAGTGAAGCTTTACATGTTTAAATTTCAAAGTTATCCTTGCAACAGCACTACAAATTGTCCTTAAAAATTGCCAGAAAGTTGAATCAATACCTCTCTCAAAAAGCTGACAGTTATAGATAAATCAGGTTCTGTAGGGTACTGGAGTGTTCTTGTATTGCAATGCATTACAGAGAATTCTATAGGAGTTTCTGTTACTTTGCACATCAGGGACACAGAAAAAAGCTTTACCTAGTCCAACACTGCTGTTTTCCAGCAGGTAGCTGAGATGGTCAAAAAGGGCTCCCTGATTGTGACGGCTGATGCGACAAAAATAACACAGGAATCGACAGCAGCTGGCCACCATCTTGGGAAAAGTAATCTCCTAACAAAAGAAAATGAATACATGGATCTAAAGAAAATCGAAATGCAAGGAGGTAGAGAAACTGTAATACAAGGAGTATTGCCCTATTAATGATGCACATCAGGTAGGACACAATTTTACCTTTTATCCTCAGAATATGGTCTATAGATTATCAGAACCGTTCAAGTAACAAACTAATGAAAAGACCAGCTTCATTGATTTCACACATTTTATCCATATTATCACCATAAATTTCAATTCATCTCTCACCTTTGATTCCCCCTCTCCGAGAACATTGACCATAACCTCCATCACAGTCTCATGCATCCCCAATGCCCTCATTAGGTTGGGGTGCTGGTAGAAAACTTTATTATTCATGATGTCTCTGCACATAAAACAGAGCACACAAATAAATGAAGTGTAAGAATATTTTCCACACCCCAGAGGATATTATGATGTGTTAGAAACTAAAACATACAAATTATTACACAAGATCACAATAATCAAGAGGTGTGAAAAGAAGCAAACCCATGTTGCATTGCAAATGTCCGCATACCCTAGTTTCCTGATCATCAACCTCTCCTCTTCTTTCCCCATGCAGACACTGAGGAGGGAGCGGATTTGGCTCAGGGAGGACAGGAGAGCCATGGTGTCCTCTACAGAAGCCTGGCTAATGGTGTACGTTCTGCAGAGGGGTCCTGCCATTTGCCCCCCAAGGCCCTGATACTGGCAGTGTAGCAATGAGAAGACAGCCCTAACCAGTTCAGGGTCCTCCATCTCCGTCTCTTGAGCCCAATGCACCATTGTCTCAGAGATCAGCTTTTTTAGGGACTCTGAAGAAGTACCAGCAGGAGAAAGGTTGTAGTAAAAGTAGAAAAGTGGAAACCTACTACCCTTAAAAGAAAAAAACACTGCTGTCCCATCAGCCTTAGATTTGAGAATGTGCAGTATGACAAGACAGTGGATAGATCATGTTATTACACTAAAGTTACATAGTAGTTGTAAGACACATGTACAAAGTGAGACAGAGAAAGGGCTTTAACAACATGGATGTGCTTACTGGCACTCTGCAGTCTACTCTCCTCCACTTCTATGGGTCTCTTCTTCTTCAGTCCAATGACTCTTGCTACTAAACTGAGAAGTCGATCTTTTACAGACAACTCAGCATCCTCTTCATCCTCTGTGTCACTGTCCAATTCAATGCCTGTACAAAAATAGCCAATAAGATGAGATTTCCACGGCAAGTGCCTTCTCAAAGCTTTTTCACAGCTCCGTGGCTCAATGAAGAATAATAATGAATCATGCATTTATTCATTCATTCATTCATTCTAACCAGAGTGTGTGTTGAGGAGGTGATGGAAGTGTTGCAGGAGCTGTTGGATTTCCATTGGACATGGGCAGTTCTCCTGTTGCTCATCTTCTCTAAAGCTCAGCAACATGTTGATCTAAAGACAAATCCAAAAACCACAGCTCCGTTTTTTACATCTTTATCTTCTTAGCTAATATTAGCAACTACTTATAGGAATAAAACAGCAAAATTTAATTGCAGATTACTCAACCTGCTCTTCTGGAGGTGATCGGAACTCCTTGGTCTTGCGGGCGGTGAGAGCGGCTGACATGTTGAGTGCTTGCATGACCTGGTTGTAGCGAAAGCGTTGGTTCTCCTGCAGCTGACCCACAAAGTTGTCAGAGAAGGCAACCACAGCTTCTACCCTGTGGCGCATTTGGCAATCACACAGGTAGGACAGCAGATTGCAGAGCTGGAAAAATAAATGTATTAAATCTTCCTTTAAAACTTCTTACAGGAATATAACAACACAGCATCTGAAGCTAATCCAAAACTACCAATGGAAGGAGAAGAAAAACAAACAAATGTGGTGGTTTGTTCACCTCAAGTTTGACAGCTTCTGGAAGTTTAATTTGAAGAAGTCCTTGTTTAGAGGTTTCATCTTCTTTTTTGTTGCCCCCTTTCCATTCTTTTTCACCATCGCTAGCTTCTTCTTCATATTCCTCCTCGGGAGTGTAGAAGACTGACGGTTCTATCAGTCTCAGAACTTTTCCTAAATCCTCATCGCCAAATACCCCCATAACCAGCAGGGTGTAGAACAGTCTAATTAGGGGAACAAGTAGAAGCTCAATGCTGCCTCCTACAGGATCCCTTACACCCTGACTCGCAGCCAATACTCCAGCAGTCAGCATCTCCACAGTCAGGTCCTTCAATATCTCCAGAGGGATTTCTGGGCTCTCTGTGGAGGCTATTTGAACTGCACTATCTCCTTCCATCCCATCACTCCTGACAAAACAAGGAGAGGAGAAATGCATCCGTGGTTTAAGGGATGTGCTAAGACTAGTGCTGGGAATACCTTTCCCCCCATTAACACCATTAGCAGGGCTGGAAGAAAGGGTGATTTCTCTGGTCTGGTCAGTCATAGGCACAATGTATTCATGGTTCATCATGAGACATGCTGTGGCGTGGCTGCTGAGGTGAACCTAAAGAATAAGAACACTCAATTAGTAACTCTGCAAAGACCAAAGTTTCCTCATCCTGTTTTCGATAAACATTACCTAAAGAAAAAAGTCAAGACATTACCTGAATAAGTAGCTGGTAAAATGCAGAGCGGAGAGAGCCAGGGAGGTGGGGATTCTGAATGGCATGAAGGACCTGGGATTGGTCCACATGACTGCAGAGAGCATGGCAAACTCTGGTATTTCCAAGGGTGCATAAAGAGCAGTAGAGGAGGAGAGTGTGGTGGTAAAAGGTCAAGAGGTCATCGAGTTCCGACAGCTCCAAAATGTCAACACACCTACACATATGACAAGACAATTTGTGTTGTTTCTTGGTCAAGATCAAATTAAAGCTCTTGTTGACAACTTGGCACAATGGCAGCACCTAGGAAGGTCAGAATTTGCAACTACAGTCTGTTTTGATGATGTTATACATGGGTGCTGCCTTGTGCTTGCAGATTGCAGCAGAAAAAGAGACGTGGGATGACAGCAACATTAGAAACAACACATGTATCACTTTCTGCGCACTTAAATTTAAAACCCCTATTTCAAAAATACATATTTATTCCTGCTCTTTAACCTGTTTTCATCAGGGATCTGAAGGGTCATGACTTGCAGGGGCTCAGAGCATTGGACTCTCCAGCCGTGGTATTCATTTGGCCGATCCACCATCACCTTCAATGCACGTTCTGGTACTCTGGTCCACGAAACCGGGCTAAGATGCTGGACCTGAAACCTTGGAGGACACTGAGGAGCGGCATTCCTTCTTTGACTGCGAAGCAGTCCTGCTGACAGTGGCATAACATTCTAGATTGAGAGGGGAAAAATAGAATAGAATGGCATAACAGACCACCAAACATTTATAAGGAATAGAACAGGTTGAAAAACAGACTGAAAAAGGGTCACAGGGCAGAAACTTCTCAACACTGAACTGTTCTAACTTTCCAAGATGCAACCTAATTAATTACTAATCCTGTGATATGTCAACAACAATTTGTCCAATTTTTTGTCTGTTAAAAAAAATTCTTCTAATGTATATGACAGCATTCAAAATTAAAAGTTCCCGTACCTTAATGCGTCCCACTTCAAACTGAAACATGTTGCTGGTGGTGGGCTTGACAAAAACAGCAGGAAACAGCTTTGTACTGGCTTCCACCTGATTAGCAGTGAAACAATACTACATCAGTTTAATAATTCAGTGCTCCCTGTTAAACATTACTCACTACTTTCATAGGTTACTCTCCCAAATACAACGCACAAAGCTCAGTATGAGGTCAATGTATTACAATTAACAAAAAAATACTGAATAGAGAAGATCCCTATATGACCTACTTGATAGAAAGTGGCCATCTCCACTCCACTGGAGGTAAAGGTGAGCAGTCCAGTGGCTGTGTCAATTAAACAGCCAATTTCCAACCCTGAACTTCTCCGACTCTGAGACAGGCCTGTTGCTTCTCCAGCACAAAACATGTAACAGTTACACCGCTTCACACTGTGAAAACAGATAGGGCTATAATTAATTGGCTTGCTGATAATTTGTCATGAACACTCTAAAGAATCACAAGTGAATTTAAGGGACTATGGAATAATTTTTCACAGGAGTTAATATAGCATTGTTTGATAAGTACAGTAAACTGAATCACATAACAAGTTTAATTATGGTGTAAAAAGGATAATCATGACAAGAATAAGCACCATCTTTGACTGCAATTAGTATTTAAATTCTAAGTAAAGTCACCCATTCAAACAATGAAAGTCTCCTAGTGTATACTGACCTTTCCTGCACTTTGCCACTGTCATCTCCGAGGGTGACAGTCACTGTGTGGACACTGTCCGTGTCAAATGTCACATCAAGGTGATGAAAGTCAGAGGTCACCCAGCCTACCCACACATTGAACGGCTCCTGGCCTGGAAGAACCCTCACGGAGTAATAATACTGAAACAGAGATGTCAGTTGGTGTTTGTTTTTTATGTTTTTTTATGTGAAGCACAATACATGTGCAGAAACCCTGCAGTGCAATTTGTTTAATTTTAGTGCAATCTGAGGCAGCAGACTGTCCAAATACATTTAGTATTTTGTAGTATTATTTAGGGGAATTATTGAGTATTATAGAAATAATAGAGCAAAATAATTGGTTTTCTTATTAGCACTGATTATGTTTTATGTTCTGTGGTTATCTGGTTATGATGAGATAAGATGATGAGAAAAGGAAAGCCTTACTCTGGAGCTCTGGATAAGGTGATCATAGTTATCCTTGTCAACTACGACATCTTCTAGAAGTCGTGCAGAGGAGTTGCTGCTGATTAGTCCTGGTTTAGTCTTCTTCAGCATGAACCTTACAGACCAAAAACACAGATACATTTGTACACAGCATGATTCATTTTGCAGATAAATTGTGACTGTGGTGAGACAGAGAGCCTGTTTGCTAGCATATGTGTTGCTTTTAACTTTAGTTTCTGTACAACCTACCGTTGTTTCAATCTTGAGGTTTTGTCTTGACTATGATCCTTATGGTTGAGCTCATCTCTTGAACCATTAAAACCATGGGCTGACTTCCTCAGCACTTCAAAGTCAGAATCCACCTCCTCCTGATCTTTCCTTCCTTAAAGGACAAAAGGAATTAATTACAGCAGGGCCCTGGAGAGCTTAAGCAGAACAACTCGTCAAGGTCATAATAGTAGAATATCAATAATCAGGATAGTGAATAATCTGGATAAATGCAAACAACAACTATCAAGATGTCAGTCACTAATTATTGCTATCAGTTTGTATCTTTTAATAGCTAATAGTTTACATGCTAAATAAGGGGTAATGTCATTTGTTGTTTGAACTTATGGCAAACCAAATGAGTCCTTATTGTGGTGTTATGCTATTCTATGCTAAGCTAAGCTAAGCTATTCTTTGCTATTCTATGCTATAATATGATATGATAAGAACCTGAAGACAGAGAGTTGGAGGCCACTGGAAGAACGCCCCCGGCAGGGCTAGTGAGGATGGCAGCACATTCGATGGGCATGCTTAGCCGGTAAAAGCCCATCTCACTGCCTCCACTGTGATGTGCAAACAATCGCTGAGAGACCCTCAGGCTGGATAAGGAATCTGTTGAGCCACTGACTCTAGTGACCTGGAATAAGATTTGGACAAGATTTTTGGGATAAGTGTTGTCAATTAACAGGTGTTACAAGCAACCCTGGGTTGTATAGAGGCCTGTATCATAATATTGCACCATACTAAATACATACGACATATTATCAAAGCTACTAGGTAAAAGAAAGCATGGAGTCTGCTAAATTAACCTGTAAATTGTGATCATCAGGCATTATGGAGGTAAACTGAGGCTGTTTCCAACTCATCCACAGGGCTGGGTCTCTGGCCATATTGACAGCAAATGGTTCATATCCCTCCTGTAGGCCACACACAGAAAAGTACTGCAGAGAGTCCACTTGGCGGCCCAGGTTCAGCCTCCCCACCTGGTTCACCCCAACACTGACCACAGGCAAAAGGCCTGGGAAATATGGAGAAAGACAAGATGAATTAAATTTCAGTCTGATAGGTATATTTAAGTCTTGGATATGGGTTAGACTTTTAATAAAATAAAATAAAATGATTATCTTTCAGTTTAATACAGTTTTAAGTCCGTGCAATACACTGTATAAAGTCAAAAACTCTTCCAGACCGTCTTTGATATCAAAGTCCTTGGCAGCCAGCTCTGATCCTCTGTCATTAAACAGCACCTCTCCATTGAGCGTGACCATCATGGTGCTTTCAGCCATGTCCACCAAGCAACCCACCACATCGCCTCGCTGCCATGGACGTCCCAGGGGCTCAACGCCCTGATGGTACCACTGAGCCTGAAAGCAGGGAAGACGAGGACTTAGAAATAAAAGCAGACAAGTGTAAAAACCCTCACATAGGAAAAGAGGTAAAAGAACCCACACAGCGCAGGATGAGATGAGATGCTAACAGGATCGTTAAACTCAGCTCAGCAGATTACAGCTCCACTTTGCTTAGGTCAATGTCCCTTGTGATACATAGTGGGAAGTATGACAAGGTTTTTTATGTATTGACTTTAAATAATGTGGAAATAGTGCAGCAGAAACTGTGTGATTGCACCCACTGATTAATGAGGGTCACACATCTTTGCTGTAATCGTGAATAGATGTTATTGGTCAAGCACCAACTTGATGAAATTGCTTGCATGTACAACTAACTTGTTGAAGTTAGGTATTCTGTTTTAGTTTTTACTTTATATAGTTCATTTCAATACCTCCTTATTAGATGGTTATTTTACAGCTAGAGTATAAAGCCACAGTTCTGTTTCTGTCTACTCTACAAAACATCCTCTGGCATCACTAATAATAACAAAGCCATGATATACCAGTTTGTCAACTAATATTTAAATTTGGACTTAGTTTAAGTCATATTGTCATTCTGTATACTGTAAAAGTAAATAAAGAAATATCTAAGAGCTGTGGGAACACAAAGCCCTGTTTTTTCAACACGCTTGAGTTTTATTATGACAAAAAGAAAAGATTCACATTGGGGATTTAACAAAGTCACACTGAGAGTTGGGCTTATTGTTCACACATTATATTAATGCCATTTTAACTGTCAAATTTGAATATCTCACCTCAAATCCATCGAAGACAAATGCCTGGTCATCTGAGCCGAGCTCTTTATCTGGCGTACAGCCTGGTCGGGCCCAGCCCACTCTCATATTCCCCGCTGTCACTATTTCAAATTCAAAGTACCACTTCCCCAGCGTTACAGCGTATGATTTATCTGGCCTGAACACTCGGCACTTCTTAGCAGAGATGAGACATGGATTTGATAATGTAGCTGTAAACCCAACAAACAGAGAAAATAACAACTGATTTGCATTCAAGTCCCACTGAAGAGAGAAGAGAAGAGAATCTTTGCAATACAAAGTTGACAAAGGCAAGAAGTATTAGAAATATTCTGTAAAGTCTGTGCTAGTTCATAACAAAGAGAGCCTCATCTTAATTAAGTTTACATTAGCTTATATTGGTCGAAATGAACTGAGCTATAACTCATAAGATCATTTGAGACATACTCCGTTCCTGGTTGAGTGGTTCCAGGCTGTAACCGTAGGCCAGCAGGGTACAGAAAGCCTCTCTGACACTCTCCCTGCCCACTCTCCTACTCTTTTCATCAAGAAGGCTGTAGGGCACGAGGTACGGGCTCCGCTTCGCTTTCACATCCTAAAAATACAGAGGCAAAGACCAAAAATGGGCAACTATATTTTTTGAGAACAATGTCAGTGTTTGTGTTGCCAGAGCATGTTGTTGCTATGTGCATATTCTATGTTATGACTGAGAGACAATGTACAGGGGAATACTTTCATTTACTATATTCTTAATACCATCTGAAAACTTTTTTTTGAGGAAGGCTGTGAATATTAATGTTCAAATGTAAATCCTCCTCAGTAGAGCCTGCAACACAGAAGACAAACCTGTTGGGTTCCATGGGTCCATCCATGTTTGATACGCTCTCTGGCCCATACATTGTGATCATTCTCTGCCAGCAAGTTAACCGCTTCCTCATGGGCGGGGCTCAGCAAAACCTGGCTCAAGTCTACTGGGGCAGGCCTATACCCACTGGGCTGCTCATATCTGGGAAAGGCAATCAAAAATGGATAGGAGTGTGTCAAGATTGTAAATAACTTAAAAAAATGATGAGTGGTTATGATGTGGTTGTGCTTTTAGAGTATTCATGAATAAATCATCACATATATTGCTTATATAGCTTATGACACTTGATGAAAAATAAAGACATAAGGCAACTCACATGTGGGGCTACACCAATAGTGACCAAACTGAAAGCTCCCAAATGTTTCCTTTGTGCAATAACATAATATTAAACTTGTACTTACTTGGTGGCTAGTCTCATGTATTTGACTCTCTCCACAGCGTGTTCATCCATCAAACCAATGTGGAAACCAAGGGCGAGGAGAGTCCTGCAGTGGAAAAACAAATATGAAAACTTAATGAAACATTCACTAATCATAAAAATGAAAACTAAATTAAGTAGCTTTAAGTGTAAAATTTCTATTGACATACATCTGTATATTTTTTTCAAATAAAATTAATGAATTATTGAATAAAAAAATAACCAAGGAAGTGTTGTCTATAATGTGATGCAGACAGTGAAGCTCACCTGAGGGTGTCTTCAGCCATCTGAAGGTTCTGGTTCCTCTCGTGCTCTGGCAGCTTGGAGAACTCCACCAGACAGGGATCATGCCTCTTAACTTCATCTCTCACCTGTTTGACAAAAGTTAATGTTTTATGGGGCTGCATGTAAAACTGAAGTGAACTGGACCAGTCAGGTTTCAGGTGAAGCTTTAGATGGTACAATCGTCTTAAACGTCTTATTTAATTTATGCAGTGTAATTCAATTATAGATGTTGTTTGTCTTAACTTACAAGTCCATGTGTCCATCCAAGATCAATCTTGTCCATTGCCCAGAGTTCATGGATGTTTTCCGCCATTTTCTCTCGGATATCTTCAAGTTGAGGGGGCAATACCACCTATGAGAGAAATATGAGCAAAGTCAAAGTAATTCAACTACATCGATATGGTATATTTCAGCACAAAGAATTATTTCAATATAATAATATATAATATAATCTAAAATCTCTACCTGTAAAATGAAATAAAGAAATAAATCAAATTTGACTATGCTGGTTTTTACCTTGCTGGTGTCTACTGGTGCGGGACAAAAGGTCACTGGAGTAGAAGGTACTGAGGGGCCAATGAGCTGTTGTTTCCCTTCTCCATGATTCAATATGTATTTGTGACATGGCTCTACTTTGAGCTTGACTCTCGGGAGCAGAGCCTCAGAGCACGGAGCAAAACCTGGTGGGGGCAAGAAGCGAAACTCTCCATGCCTTCCCCCAAACAGAAACCGAACCCTGATTTCCAGAAACAGGACAAGGAAGGTATTTACTATGTATTATGATTTTTACAGAGACATTAATAATTGATTTATTTAACTCTACTCGACAGCCTACTGAGAACAATACAAGTACTATTGAATACAGCATTTTGTCAAAATTAACTTGAGCCATATAGGCCAGTCAAACAAAATCATATCTCCACTACTGACTTGACTCCAGCAGAGAAGCTGACCACAGGAAAAAGAAGTCCAGTTGCACTGAAGTTCTCCAACATGCCCTGCACAGGTAGGCCATTGACCCGGAAAGAGATGCAGGGTGCACTGAGGTCTAGACAGCAGCTGACCACATCGTCATCTTTCAGCAGGTGAGGGAAGGGAGAGCTAACTCTGCGGCCCACACAGCCTGAGGTTTAGAAGACACATCCATTGTTGATAGTTTCTCCTCAACTCAACATCAGACTGCATTTACAGCATTACAAAGACCATACTTTATCAAATGAAATGCATACAACTAAAATAAAATTTTAATTGTTTTTGTCCATAATATGTTCACCCTTCTTTGTTATTATTATTTTTGTTTTTTTAAAGTTAAGGATTAGATTACAGTGACAGTGTCACTGCAGGGCTATGATTGATACGCTGACTTTACTTCATTCTGGCATTTATTGTATAACACAAAAGAACATCATTAATTACCATCAAATCAATTTTAAATTCCAAATATGGAATCACTCTACTTTGCAGTCAGTGTTGTTACAGTTCTTACCTCACACTGGAGATGACTAAAATGCAATTAAACTGTTCATTTTTATATACACTTATGTTTGACTGTTTACTGCTGCTGATGATTTATTATCATATATGACCATCTCTCTCTATGCAGGCTTAAAGGAACAAGCAGTAATACATTGCTTGCTCGCTCTGGATCATCGAGTGCTGCTGAACAAAGGTAGCCAATGCTGTTCTTTCAATAGCTGCTGAAATTTCAAGTCTTCTTAACAGGCACATTTAAAAATATCTATTTTATTTTATTTCTTTGTTGCTCCTTTAAACAGGCATGCTACATCTCCAGTATACGCCTTTCATTGCACTAAATATAATGCAATGAAGATGAATGTGTTTATCTAAAAAAGTACCTTGGAGTACGTGGAGCAATATAAATCTTTCCTGTGAACTGCTATCCTAGAAAACACATGTCTATTGTATGTGTGTATAAGTATATTATGTTTATTTGTTTTGCTGACTTTCTGCTGGTGGTCTGAACTCTTTATACACAATTTACAATTGTAAATCACAATACATCACAATTAAACTCTGCTCATTATTGTGCACCCAGACAAAACTAAACAAGACTGAAATATGGTTGACAAGCAAACTTTCAGTGAGTGAGTTCCTCAGTCAAACTTATACTGTACACACTACACTGTACCTCGTCTGATCTCATCCTCACCTGACCAGAGGTGAAGCCCATCAAAGCCGTAGGAGCAGAGGTTGTCTCCCACCCCGTTGGCCCCCCAGCCTTCACCCCCTGTGGGCTTGGGCTGGTATCCCTCAGTGCAAGCCCAGCCAACACGCAGGTGTGTGGGCTCAGATGTGAGGAAGGAGTCGACATGATCCACAACCAGCTCATAGTACCACCTCCGATGCTGGGCTGAATCTTCTCCCAGAGCCAAGAAGATGTTTGGTCTCATGCTGTGGTGGAGTAACATGCAGAGAGTACCAAAGTCAAACAAAGGGGCAACAAAAGTCAGAATACAGTGGTGCCTTTCTTTGTTTTTTAGTCAAATATTAATTTCAAAGACATGAATAGGTCTTTAAAACTTCAAGAAATGTTACAAAATTGTACAGCATTATGATTGTGACTACTACAAGAAAAAATAACAATTAAGAGGAGAAGGAAAGTGTATTACAAGAATTACCACCCTACAGTTGTGTACCTCCGCCAACCAGTGAGGTTGCAGTTTGTCCAGACCCATATAATGTATGTAGCAAATACATAAAAGAGTTTACTAAAAAAGTGTATTTTTTGTCTACATAGAAGCTATGATTATATAGATACGTATACAAATACAAAATTTACTTAAGGTTCTTCCTGAGATATCACATTCACAAGAATAGACAGATGAACAATGTCACGCTGAAGTTGACCTTTGGGATATAAAATGTCATGGATTCTTTATTTTATCCTATTAGGGACATCTTTGTTTTATCCTGTATGAAATCTTGTCATTATTAGTGTTTGAATTCTTGTTATTGTTATGGCCAAAACTGTGTTTTGTGAGGTCACAATGACCAGCAAATTCTAGTTCATCCTTAAGTCCAAATGGATGTTTGTGCCAAATTTGAAAAAATTCCCTCAAGGCGTTTCTGAAATATCGCTTTTACAAGCATACAGACAGACAACCTGAAAACATAATGCCTCCAGCCACAGCTGTCACTGGCACAGAGGCATAAAAATTACCTGTGAAAAATTCAGGATAGCCAGGATGGGTGATATGTATGACTGGAGTGAGTTAAACAGCACACTTTTTATTGTACCAAATAGAAACATTAAACTGAATATCTAATTAATAAATTCTCTGGTAAATTCTTTTTTATTTTTACCATATTGCCCTCTGTAGTACCAAAAACTGAACTTCCCTTTAGTAAAGGCAATCTGGTACTTTCTGGGGCCTACACAGAGCATAACTCTCATGGGCTCAATGCATTGCATTGTCATACATATATAAAAGAATGAACAAATACAGAGCAGAGTTTTTGCATAGGGTCTCATTTTGATCTCCCAAATTCAACGCTGGAACTAAATTAGCAGAAGTAATTTGGAGAGGTATATGGATGAGTAAATCCCCAATCTGTTGCTTGAATTAAGTGGAGAGAATAAATGCCAACTCATATACGGACACTAACCCCGCGCTTAACAGAGCTCTCCTGACAGTGAAGATATGAGGACAGAAGAAGGGAATTTAAGGAATGAGAAAAGGACACAGAGAGGTATGATGTGGTTTAGGTGATATAAGAGATTGGATAAAAATGGAAAAGAATGAATGAAGAAAAAGCACATCTGGAAGAATTGACAAAAATCTTGTGAGCAAGAAGGAGAAGATAGAAAAGAGAAAGAAGATTGAGGAGATAAACGAAATGAAAATTAAAGCCTGTGTATAAATGAGGCATTTAGTTGAAAAAGAAATAAAAATAATAGAATGAGGGAACGGCTTGTGGAGGAAGAGAGAGCTGAGGAATGGACTGAGCAGGTGTGAAGAATATGAAACAAAATAAGCTACAAGGCCTGACGAACAAAATGGGCTGCTGAGAAAAGCATGATAAAAGAAGGCAGCTGCTGAGGAAAAAGGGCCGGTGAAGTGAAAAAAAAAACAAGCTCAAAGGAAAAGGGAAATTGAAACTGCCCACAAGATCAAACTGGCATAGTGGGCCAAAATACTGAGAGACAGAGAGAACATGAAATGTGATTAAACTGTCAAGAAGTGTCCAAAGATTAACTCTGTCGAGCCATACAATCTCAGGCAACGAGCTACTTTTACAAAGTCTCATTGGAAGAGGCAAGACGAAGACGAGTGCTTCTTTGTCGGTCTGATCTATTCAGAAAAAAATAATTGTCGTAGCAAATGAAGAGAAGACAAGGAAGGAGACGAGTAATTCTTTATATAACTCAAGACTGAGAGAAAAGATGACTACTGTGGGGAAATGTGAAGTATCTCTTGTATCAAGGATGTGTCATTACAGATGGAAAACTATAATATCAGAGTCCTCATTCAGTGGTGGCTCCAAGAGTAAATAAAAGCAAGGACAGAATATGTTAAGTGAACTTAATGCAAAACAGGCACATGTTAAATGTACTCTTTTGTTATAGAAAATATTTTATTTATTTTATGAGACTTTTTTTTAATTTCTGATGTGTGTGCATAGTGAATGAGAACACCAAATTAAAAAGAAGAGGACAGAATTAAAGAGAAAAGAATGACTCAGAGACAAAACAAAGCAGTCCTATTTAGAGAACACATTCTGAATTGTACCTGGTGACCCGATTAGTCAGACGTGTTTGGAGCAGCAAGTCTCTGTCTGGCAGCAAGTTGTCACAGATGAGGTTCTGATTGGACCGCACCGCCACACCGTGGCACACACACAGAGAGCACAGCACCTCCAGAACCTGGAACACAACCTGTCAGCACTTCATCTAGCAATAGCTCCATAAACACATTTATCCCCAAATTAGATCAGATCGGAAAACTGCTATTACAGCCACAACAGCTACTTTTTTTATGTTTTTGCATTGGTGAAACTGACATTAGCTCATTTCCTAACCCTGCTGCAAATGCATACATAAACAGGCCAATTCTGAGATGACATTTGTCCAAATAATGGATGTTTTTCCGTTAAATTTAGATAAGCTACAGCACTTCAGCCAATAAATCCAGAAATAATGACAACTGTCATTTTTCTTCCATTATTGACGCATGCACAGTATTTTAATTAAAATATACAAACACCATTAAAACACTACCTTGTGGTTGCATCCATGCATGTCTAGAAATGAGATGATAGAATGAATGTGTCCTTCTTTAATGACATTGAGTGCTTCAGGACTTTCCACTAGGACACACTGCAGAACCTCCAAGACTCCTGTACATTACACACAGTACGCATGATATAATCAGATAACAGTGTATAACTGGAATATTAAACTACATTATCACTGACGTAAAACAACTCAAACAGGTATAAGAAGTTCAACATTTTTATTTTTTTTCATGTTTTGCAAATTAAAAATGTGATTGTAAATGAAATGCCCACAAATCCAACCAACCAGAAGAGGCCTCCAGCCGGTCTAGTCTGCTGATCAGCCAGTCTAGAGAACCTGAGAAATGTGCACAATTTACACGGTTTCGCCGTAGCAGAGCAGCTGTAGGGGTAAAATGAAATAAACATGGATCATTTTTAAGATAGGTATTTTAAGTCAAAAAAGCACTGAAATGGATTATTAACAGTTTAGTAGATGTCAAAAAACTGTATCCCTTTGGCATCAGTGTCAGTAGGTAATTAACGTTGTGGTGTCTGTATTAGAGTCATCTATACTAGAAAAAGATCTCACCCAATAGCTCATAGAAGCGGTTGAGGATGGTCTCCCACTCTGCTCCTGCGTCACTTTGAGCAGTCTCAGAATGAGAAGCACTACTATGTTGGTGCAGACGATCAATACAATCTAGGACCAAATCTATCACACCCTGTGAAGAAAGGTGGGGGTATACTTATAGCACTGTGACACATATCATATGTACATATGCATATATTTATATATTTTTACCTCCTCCTGAAACATGTTCTGCCGATTCTTTAACGCTGTCATTTTGTTCTGTTTAGCTTCATGGTCTAGCCCCTCCGGTGGAGGCTGAAAATAGTTTATTAGATCCTGCAGACTACAGGTCACTATCTCCATTGGCAGGCTGCCAAACGTGAGGTTTCCGTGTTGACTGAAACCATCCAGTTTCCTGAAGAAAAATTGGGTTAAGTATAATAAAGCAATATATCATAGCAGTGATTAGTTTCTTGCTTAGACTCAAACTACCAGTCTTTCAAATATTTTTGCTGTCGTTAAAAGAACCCCAGGATTCACAGTGACTAGTATCTGGTCATAGCAATATTCTATGATACTTATTATTGGAAGACAGAGAACAGAAAGTGTGACAGAGTATCTGAGCTACAAGAACAGAAGTAGGAGACTTAATTATGCAGCTCAAACTTTTTAAAACATAGTAGCATTCCATGGTATTTTGAAAAAGTTGGCATTAATGGATAGTCACTCAGTATTTGTGTGTTTAAAAAAAAACAATAACAGTGAACTCATAACAAAGACAAATAATCTTGATAGTAATCACTTTTTAGTTATTTCTTTACTTCTGTCTAGCTCCAACAAGGACACGTACAAGGCCTGTGCTATGAACACACTTGCAGTCAGATATTTAGTACAACACTTCAATCTCTACTAAGGTAGCGAACACTGCAGCTGGAAACAACCTTCACTATGCAAGTGGAACTGTAACAAAAGAGCACATGTATCAGTTTGGTATCCACAAATGACTGAGGGTCTAGATATGACATCCAGTACCTGATAAAGCAAGTGAAGAGGAGGGTAGCACTCCGGATGAGTCTGGCAGTATGAGATTCTTCCCTCTGAGAACGAGACAGCGTCAGCCCGTCGTCCATGTGACCCTCGCTGTGCAAAACAGCCTGGAAACATACAAATTGCTATGATTTCCTTTCACTACATTAAAGTGCAATTTAGTACATCAAATATGATTCTCTTACAATAATTTCAAATCTAAAGGATTACTTTTCGCTGAGTCCCTCCCATGCGTGTAGATTTGGCATCAACAGCCTGGTAGGTGAGCCAGAGCCCAGAGTCTACATGCTGAACATAACAAATGGAGTCTCCGTACTTGATCTCTGGGATCCCCATGCCATCAACATTAGTCTTGGTGCCAATGTCAAGCTTGTCCTACAGACAAAAATCTACTGTTAGACATATCACAAACAGATTGTGTCACTGATAATAACTGATCTGGTCATAACTTGGAAACCTGTGCTACACTAATAACTTTCAAGTCTCCATTCTATAGAAACATTTTAGATAATGAATTGATCACATCAGCCTTAAAAAAAGGTTGAGTATTATTATTTCTCATGTGATTCCTGACCTTTGATGATCGAAAGCAGAAGGAGGTTGTGTTGATATCAGCCTTGTCCCGATCAACCAGATGCAGGCCTTTCTCCTCGGTAAGACCCAGATACCTCCCAGTGGTCATATGACAGAGTCGGAAAGGTTGACCCCAGCATGTATGCCTACCACTCCAACTGAGGAATATCAAAAACATTGTGGCTTTTTTGTTGCTTTTGTTTTCTGTTGAATGCAGCTGAACATTTTTCAAAATGTCCTCTTTATTGTTGAGATGGCAGGGGAGCAAGCAGGGGAAACACACAACACTAATTCCATTCTGGGCCAGTGCTATTAAATATGGTTCCAGCAACTGTGTACAGCCTTTGTGAGAAAAAAACAACAGTAACAGAAATTCTGGGCCCTGCCCTGGCAGAGACCAGCAGCAGTGCAATGCATATGGACATGATACTGACTCCCTCTATGGTCTTCACAACAACTCAACCACGGTGTTGTGTAAGTGTGCATTATTTTCTCTTTAAAATTTGATGGTGTTAAACTATAGAACTCAAAATACTACTCACTTTTATAGTGAGTGAAGCATCACATCGTGTATATACTTACACAACACGCAGAATCTCCAGCCTCCAGAGAGAGCGGGCATGCCTGGACACTGATCCAATCTCGTAATGCATTATCCTAGATTAAGAAAAAAAGACATGACCACAGAAGTAAAGGACGTTTGGTTTAGCTGACATGAAGGAGTCTGGTCTTTCCAACTGACCTTTGCAGCTCCTCTCCCTGCTCTGCAGACGGAACAGTCAGACATGCGTCACTATGGCTGTGGAGTAGCCGCACTGTGTCGCCCCCCTTTAGGTATCCTAGAATAAAGCACAACAGACACCAGATCTTGCAACCTGATTTTGACCCTGACAGCAGTTTGAAAAGTCACATATACATCACATGGCTGGACCAATCACATTTCTTGGACACAACAATCAGTTGTCGAACTTGCCTTGAGCAACTCCACCTCCAGAGCAGATGGGAGCGACACTCCAAAGAGTTTGCTGGAAGGCTGCATTAACAATCAGGCTGTCACTCAAGCTTTTGTTGTCAAATACAGTGCCAAAGGATAGGTGCTGGAAAGAAACAAAACGGTAACAAGAAAAAATGGGCTCATCAACAATGAATACAACTTCTGATTTTTAGACTACAAAAGTTGTTATCATAAACAATTATGCTAAACAACTCATCAGAGGCAGAGAGAACACAGATTGCAGACTACTGAATGAAGTCAAAGGAAATTAAACCAGGGACATATAAATGGTAGTTTCTGCGCAGAGGAAAGACGGGAGAAAAAAAACACACATTCAATTTCAACTTCAAATGTTTAATTAGTAGCCTTTCAATCTCATAGTCTGAAGTATTTAAAGCAGATTCTTTGTCATCTAAGAGTGAAAAACTTAACTTCTTTACTGACTCACCAGATATCTTTCTGAGGACACACTGACGAGTATGAGATCATCCCCAACACGCACTTTCTCACCCTCTGACCTCTGTCTGGATGCTGGGTGGACGGTCCACCAACACGCCTCACCTAAGCCACAAACACAATATATACAAAGAGTTTTTGCTGTTCCACATACTTGACAAAGGCTTACCCACTTTTAAGATTACAAATAAACCATATTATATTATAATTATAAAAAGAGGATTACATGTGATATAAATGCATAAATATATATATTTTAAGAACATTGCAAAAGCAAATGTACTGATATTACAGTTATCGAGCGTTTAAAAAGGACTAATACCAAATACCTGCTTTATCCTCTTGCAGACCAACATCAAAAGTGAGTTTGTCAGTTGAAGACTGAGATGAAGATAAGCAGCTGAGATACTGGGAGTAAAATGGACAGTGGATATACATGTCAGTGAACATATGAACAAATTTATTTTTAAAGCTGAAAAAACTATTTGCTATTTGCAAGTGGAAAAAGAAAGACTGAAGCCTTCTGACTTATTTCTGCATTATAAGAAGGCGACTCACCATGCCACTGTATGAGTGTAGGAACAACACTGCATGGCCATAAAGAAGAGTGCGATGGCTTCCTCCTGCTACCACCTGGAAATCGCATGGCATTATAGAACTCAAAGTATGAGTAAACACAATAACAGTAGTGTGAGAAAATAAAATAAACAGAAACAAAGACTAAATTAAAAATAAAAAGCCTGGAATACAAAAATGTATCAATTTAAATGTGTGTTTCATTTTGTTCGCTTGTTAATTGTCAACACCAGCTGTTTTAGTTTTACGAGTGCTTATTTGTCATAAGATTAGCGTTAACCTTGTTGCTCCAGATGAATAAATACAGTCCAAATCCCTCTCAAATAAAGTCTATTATTTATATAAAATCATATTATAGTCAGCAGTTTACAAAATATCACAGTCAAGTACAATAACATGTGTTTTACACTCAATTACAAATAAGGCTGATATGAGGTCAGTTTAACCTGGCAACTTAATGTGGCTGTAGAAATCTTCATAGAATTCAAATTATTGTATGAATGTCACAGTGACATATATTTGATAGCAAATATCTGTTTCACAAATGTTTAGATGCATTAGGGGAAGAGAAGAGGAAAGAAGAGAAGAAGAAAGAAGAGAAGAGGAAAGAAGAGAAGAGGAGAGGAAAGAAGAGAAGAGGAAAGAAGACTCTCACCTCTGCAGCCAGGTCCTCACTGTGGGTCAGCATTTCCTGCAGGGCTCTAACAGAGAGACACTGGGCCAGGACAAAACCACATACAGACAAGTCTGGTGGAACATTCTGTTAGAAAAGACAACAAGACAAGAGTATGTGTCACTGAGGTAGCTTCATATCTGTATATTCCCTTCACAGGCTAATAGTTCAATTAGCACTGACAAGGACCACAGCAAATTGAGAATTGGGAAGTCCAAATTGGGAAGAAAAGAGGGAAAATCCAGCACACAAAAATCAGACAAACGCTGATAAAAAGGTAAGAAACATATTAAGAGCCTGACCGATACATGGATTTGAGCCAATCGCAGACATATTGGTAATTCTTGACGATATAAACAGGTTGTTTTTTTGCTATATAATGCAGAACAATTACAAGAAAGAAACAAGAAAATAAACATTTAGATACTTTAGAATAACTTACTGTTCGGACAATATTAGAAATAAGACAGCGATCATTGAAACTATATATAAAGACAGACACAGGTTAATTTATCTTGTAATCTTGTGATATTACAGTTTGAATTCATTACTATATTTCTTAAACCTACATACAGAAGATACAGTATTTCTGTCCAGGTAAAATATTCTTAAACTTTTTAGTGAATTTTGTGCATCATTTTAGACCTCTCTTTTATTTTTAATATTTCAAGAATATGAATTGTGATCATAATGACAAAAGGACTGCTCTGGCACTGAGGAAAACTGTGCAATCGTTTTACCCTTTACCTTGCAGTTAGAGGTGGGCTCAAGCCTACACAGTCTACTGCCAAATCCCTCGGCAGCAAGACAGAGCTTCACATGTTCCTCCCGGGAGGTGAAGGTACTCTGCAAAACCACATCATCTCCCTGATGAAAAACACACACGCAGAAGACGGCAGTAAGCACAGACTCTGCATAACCTTCCCATATCGACAACCCACAAACCCTGAACAAATTACATGAAATTATGCAGAAAACAGAAAATGATTGATTGTCAGTGAAGATTTCATGTACTGTTTTACATACACACTGTATTCAGAGAGACCATCAGTCATACTGGCATGATTTATCAGTTCTCTACACTGCTGTTGTGCTTTCAAACAACACAAACAGAGCTACATATTCTCAGTAAAGCCAGTTCCGAATCAGGACCTCCAGTATTTGGAAAAAGTTGCATGTGAAAAATAAGGTGTGCTAAGTACAATAGCCTACTGTTGTTTCAATGTGACAAATACGCATTTAATCAACAATTCATATCTGCTGCTACTATAAACATGTATAATGTTCCATGTACTGTACATACACCAAGCAGCTTTGCCAACAAATGTGTTTTGCTTTGAACTGAGATTTGATAAGCAAATTTAATACTGAAGCCAGAGTAAGCCAGTTAGATACTGGATTCAGATTGTTTGTCCAGATTGCCATGAATCCATTAATGCTGGGGCCTAATGCAACACTTCACAAAAATGAGCAGCCTTTACGTTGTTTAAAAAGGGATTCATTAATCAAGCACAATGCATTACTGCCATTTGTTAGGTCCTATCTCACGTTTGAAGTTTTTCAGTAATTTCTTGCCCCTGTACCTTGTGCACAATGAATGTTTCATATTATAAAAGAGACACATTCATCATGCTTTTATTAAAAGAATTACAGTGCACCTACATTTTTGTCTGTGCCTAGGGGGCACAATATATGCAAGCATCCTGCTTACATATCAGCGTAACATAGCCCTTCGAGGGTAGCAGCAGTATACAATTTCACAAATTCAGTTATCATGTACATTTGTTTATCTACAGTACTGGATTCTCCCATAATAGTTAGTGAAATTAACAATTTTTTTCATGCCAAAAAAAAGCTTGTATTCATTTCTTTATGGGTCATTGTAGCTGATAATAATAATTGTTGTACCACCACAATCTGCTAACCTGCAACCCTAAGCCCTACTGGGAATTCATGTACATTAGATCTCTGTCACCTTTATCTTATCTTTATTTAAATGTCAAATGGACCACGTCAAAGGAATAAGGCTTTTCACATCTATTTAAGGAACTGTAAAGAGGGACAACAGACGACTGGTCTCCAAAGTCCAGTCAGGACTTCCAACACCTCTCCGTACCCAGGCTGCATACCTCCATATTGGGAAGATACAGCGATATCTGACCCCAGATTCACCCTTCTTTCCACTCCTCATATCAGCAGTACTCTGCAATCAGTCAAACACACCGCCCAATGCTGAGGCACTGTGTGGCATTCAGATGGCTAGAGGACTCAGCTCTTCTTCAAGGTCCATTTAGCAAGTGAAAATTCACTAAGCTAACTTAATCTAAATGTTGAAAGCCCTGGCAAACGGAAATACACTCGAATTGTCTTGTTTTGGATTTGAAACTGAAGCTGGTCTGTATTCTATCTGTAAAATCCACTGTTTTTCATAGTATACAGTGGAAGTGGACCACCTTGTCTAACAGATAGTCCACCTCCACTTCCATTATAAATGAATGAATAAAGTTTTTAAAAAAAAGAATAAAACATTTAGCTTCAGGGGAAAAAAGCAGAGACGCCATTTCACAGAACCAGTTTGGGTATTATGTTTCTACTGTCATACTAACTAAACTGACCGTGAGACAGTATTTGTCAGGATCTTGGAGGGGAAACACTGCATTTAATGTAATAATGTATGACGGATAACTACTGTGTAATTTTCATATCGTGGATCAATCTTGCCTCAATCTGGGTACTGGGTTCAGTAACCATCTGCATCACTGCCAGCGTGTGTGTGTGTGTGTG